TTGCATTAGGGAGATGCGTGCAGTAATAGCATCTACCTTGTGGCATTGTAGCAAAGGATTCATGAGAGAAGAGCACCATGGGAGCAGGATGGTGTCCCAAACAGTGTTGTTATAATAGGTGGAAAGTCTGTCAGGCAAGTCGGTGTGACAACGAAGAGGCCAACTGTCACTCACGCCACACATACGACTGTGTTCCCCTTACTACTAATAAAGAGGGAAGACCTGCAGTGGGTAGCCAGATCCAAGCTTTTCTCATCGTGGCCGCTGACCACAGGCATAAGATCAATCTGGGTATCACTGAGGAAATACAGAATCCTGAGTCCCTCAAGAAACACTGAATCACTTCTATGCATAGGATTTAGAAATCTGACTCCCCACCCCACTCCCTTTACAAGGCTAAGGATTAAACCTAGGGCCATGTGCAGGCTAGGTGGACCCTCTCAGCTATACCCCCACCCTTCTCTCTATCTTTCATTTTGAGATAGTCTCTTCAAATGCCCAGGCAGGCCTGCACCACTGAGTCCAGCCAGAATGGACCAGAGTACAGTTTCTGGAGGGGTAGGGTTGTCATGTCCTTGAATAACCCTCCATAGCAACCCAGCCTCCTATGAGGTAGGTATGCCTTTTCAACCTGTCGGCACCAGCAGCATTCCTTGAACAAGGTTAGCGAGATGGTCTTGAATGGTGATGTGGACACTCAATCTCTGCCAGTTACATATGGATATATTCTTCAGAAAAGTCAAATCTTTGACTTAACCATAAACTTGCCAGATTAAGACACTTTGTTTTAGATTATCCACTCTTCCTGTCTCTACAACAGAGGCTTGCCCAATGTTACCCTCAGACTTAGCTCAGGCAACTCTAAACTTAGTCCTGGTTCAGCAATCTCTTCATGCCTGAGTCTGTTTTTAGCCCCATTTCCTGTATTCTTGAGTCTCACCCACTTCCTGGCTCAGGAAAACTGGGGGCCACAGTGCCTGTGCAGCCTGTCTGGTTTCCAAAGGACCTGTCACCCAAGGCTGTCAGTGTGCCCAACCCTTGGACGTTGAGACAGGTGCTGTCATCCACAAAGTTCATAGTCAAGAATCATATATTACATTACAAAAAAGAAATCCCCCCCAAAAACCTCCTCATAATGTTTTAAGTGAGTTTATAATTTTATTTTATCTATCTATCTATCTATCTATCTATCTATTTATTTTGTTTTTTCGAGACAGGGTTTCTCTGTAGCTTTGGAGCCTGTCCTGGAACTAGCTCTTGTAGACCAGGCTGGCCTCGAACTCACAGAGATCCGCCTGCCTCTGCCTCCTGAGATTAAAGGCGTGCACCATCACCACCCATCTGAATTTATAATTTTGTGTTGGGATGTATTCATGGTTCTTTTGTGGAGTCCATGTGGTCAATCAGCTGCATATAAATCTTCAACTTTGAGACGCTGCCCATGACGCAAGCTAGGGTCTTGCCATATCTAAACAGTGGTTCCAAATTCTAACCTATTCTCTAGGGTCTTCAGATGTTGCTAAATTCCTGTCACTAAGTTCCACCTGTCTCTTAGAATGCCTCCCCAGTTAGCACAGACCTGTTGGAGAGCTTGGCTGACTCTGCCCCTCCAGCTGTGGGACCACCAGTAAATGTCCCCTCTATTGGACCTCAGTCCTGCATCTGAACCAGCCCATGCTTCACTGGGCTGCTGGAGAACTTAAAGCTGAGCCCAGTGGCTAAATACAAACAGGATGAGAAACATGGTTGACAAGGACAATAGCTGTTCTGTCTCCAGATCATCGCAAATGCAAACAAAGTCCCATGCCAAAGCAAAAGTGCCAGAGGGTGGCACTTGGGGCATCCCACCCTCCTCAGCACTCAGTATCACTGGCTGAAAGCTAAGCAGTGTACTAAGGCTGTTACTCATTTGATCTTGCCCTTAGCAAGGTTAGCATTTTGTCACCCTTTTTATAAACGAGGAGGCTGAGAGGCAAGTCACAGCACTAATCAGTGACAGAGTCAGAGTTTGGACCTCCAGCTGCCTTACTGCAGAACTCATACATTTACCCACCTTGTCACACCTTGTCACACCGTTTTTCTCACGTGTGTGTGTGCTGTGTACATGGTTATGTGTATGTACATGTGTGTGCAGGCACATGAGTATACATGTATTCATGTGTATGGAAGTCAGAGGTTGACTTTAGGTGTCTTCAATTGCTCTCCACCGTGTGTGTGTTTGTGTGTGTGTGTGAGGGGGGGGTTGTGTTCATTCACGTGTGAGTGCAGGATTGCACTTGCTATGGTGTGCTTGTAGAGGTCAGAGGACAACTTTAGATGTTGGCCCTTCCCTTCCAACTTGTTTGAGATCAGGGTCTCTCTTTGCTGTTCTCGGTGCATATGTGGACTCTCTAGCCCTCAGACTTCTGGTGGTTCTCCTGTTTGTGCTTCTCACCTCACACAGGAGCCCTGATATTATAGACGTGTGCTGCCACGCCTTTACATGGGCGCTGGGGGAGGGGACCCAAACTCAGGTCCCTATGCATGTGTGGCGGTGAGTATGTCCACTGAGCCATCTCCCCAGCCCCTACAATGCTTTGTCTCACTGTGATGTAAGAACTGAACCAGCTGCTGTTCCTGCCTCGCCTCTTTGTCTGCTGTTCCTGCAGTCCACTCCCCTAGAGCCAGCTCCTGCCTTCTGCCTTGGGTTAACTTTTCCCCAACCCTGTCACCTGGATACTCAGTGGCTCCCTTCCCTTCTCTGTCTGACTGAGCTGGAACCAGTCACCTCTGTTCTGGGACACCTTGGTCATTGATGAAAAACTGCTTGTTTGTGAATCCTTTCTTAAGGAAAAAAGATTTACCCACTTGTAATCTTTGCACAGTGAATAGAGATTGGCTTTATTTAAAACAGGGTATGTCCATGGCATGAATGACTGTGGTCTCCTGTCTTAGCAACTTAAACCAAGGGGAACTGTGTCAGTTAAGCAATGCCTTGACAACAGGCAGAAGTGGGTATACCCTCTGCCCTCCTGGCAGCTGGTACACAGGGTGGCAGGTCCTTGATTGTTTACTTATTCAGAGTCCACAGAATGCATGTCCTCAGAAAGGCTGGCTTCAGCATCTCTCCCCAGGCTGGCTATCCCTTTGCTAGTGTAGACGAAGTGCCCACCTGCCACACTCCCGAAAAGAGCATCGGCATGGGTGGTGCCACTCATCTGAGACCCAGACCACTTAACCATGTCCTGCTTTCTCAAATCCTTGAAAGAACCAGGCAAGGACATGTAAACATGAAACTTTTTTCTTAACTTTTCATGTATTTCTTTTAGTGTTTCATCAGCAAATCTGTGTGTTTATACTTTAAAAGGCAGTGACAACCAGGAAAAGTGTTCCCGCTTTCTCAGCATAAACTGTTGAACTTGTCTTCCAAGATGCAACTTTTAGAGGGGCCTTTCCTGGGAAGCCTTCAGTGGAGCTTGTGGCTGTGAATCAGAGGCTCCATCAAGCCACACTGTTCATACAGGCAGCAGTCCTTATGAGGGCAGCCCACTCTTCCTGGCTACCACTACCCCCAAAGCAAGGTCATTTGTTCTCAATCGTGTGTGTGTGTGTGTGTGTACACAGGTGTACATGTGCATGCAGAGGCCAGAGGACAACCTCAGGTGTCATCCCTCAAGAGTTGCCACCTTAGGTTTTGCTTGTTTGGTTTTTGGTTCCTGGAGCTCAGTGAGTGGACTAGACCGGCTCGCTGGCTGGCATGCCCCAGGGATCCACCTGTCGCTGCCTCCCTGGCACTGGGCTTTCAAGCATTTACCTTCTGAACCCAACTGAAAAAATAGCAACAACAAAATCCCCCACGCCCAAAAGATAGTGACTTCTGGAGGCCCAAATCAGGCTTTCAAGATTGCGTTTTGCCAGCTGAGCAACCTTTTTAACATTTTGCCACAGTGCCAAGCCATGGCAGTAACCGGGAGTGAGGGAGCAGGGCAGCCTCTCTTGGGATGCCTGTCTTCCTCCCACTGCAGCATGAGGAGCTAAACCTCCATCCATGACATCCCCATAGAAAGGCAAAGCAAAGGTGCTGGTCACCAAAGCAGATAGGAAGAAAGAGAAGAAACAGCGGATGCTAAACAGCCTAAAGAAGGCATGAAGGCTTACATTCAACTGAGATATAGGGAACTCTCGGGACTGAGGTGGGAGGTGAGGTCTTTGTAGAATGGCCCTTGACTAAATACCTGAAATTCCTCCAGGAGCACCCAGAGGTCTGAGAGTCTCAAGGCCTCCTGTCCATGAGCCCTGCACACTTTAGGTATGTAAAAGTCCCTTGCACACTTTGGGTATGTAAAAGTCCCTTGCACACTTTGGGTATATACAGTCCCCTTGGGGGAGCCTGAGGGAGGAGTCCTGAGATGAGCCTGCGACTGTGAAAGAGGATTAGGAGGTGCTGAGTGGCTCAGGTGCCAGGGCAGGGAGCATCAGCACCCACCCTATGAAACCCTCCAGCTGCTCTATGAAACGGCCGATAGAAACCTGAACTTCCCACGGGTTTTCCAAGGCAGCCGAGTTTCTAGGCTGTTGGGTAGAGAGAGCATGACACAGCAAGATAGGGCCAGCCAGACCCACTGTGGCCATAGCTTTCAGCTTCCCACAGCTCCCAAAGGCTGCATCCAGGGCTTCGGTCTATCGTCTCCCCACCCCCTCTGCTCTTCTTAGCCTGGCGCTGGAGGAATGATGATGATAGGGCGGCCGGGTGTAGGATTACTTCTGCAGTCTCTAACCTGTAAGTGCTATTTTTCCATGTCTGTGCTCTCAGCGGGCCCTTCTTCCAGAGCCGGCTGCACCCCAGTTCAAGCCAGCCATAGGGGAGCCCATCCAAGATACTGGCAGGCATGCTGGCTCCCTGCTAACTGTCCAAAACACCTCTCTGTCCCTCGTTTTTTCCCTTTCTACTAACTTTATACACACTCTGGAACAAAACAGCCAGACCCAGCTCTGGATCTAACACATTCCCTAATCCTTACCTGAAGAACCCGCAGGCTGGCAGCTCTCCTCACTCCAGTTGCTCACAAGGGGGTTGGAACTCGCTCGCTCGGTGGCCTTTGCTCTGTGTATCACGGTTCCGGTGCCGAGACTGTCCCTTCAGCCGGCTCTCCGAACCTCAGGATTACTGCAGCTCTGTGTGGGGAGAGGGACGGGCTGTGGCATGCACATCAGGTTGCTGGACCGCCTCCAGACACTATGCCAGTCCCAGAGGGCTGTGTGGGAAGCAGGGAGGTGGGTGGGGGAGCGGAGAGCGCTGGCCTCTAGGTCTGCCTTTGGCCCTTGTTCGTCAGCCGGTCAGCCGGAGGGGCCCCGCCTGCAGCCCACCACCCAGCCGCACCCCACCACGTCAGTCCACGTGAAGCTCTAAGTGCCCCTAGCTCTTGACGGTCTGCAGCAGACCTGGGGACTGCAGAGATGGCAGACAGTGACAACAACTATCTTGGGTGTTATTTTAGCATGGTTTGTATCGGGACAGAAGCCCGAGCCCAGTGTATTACCGTCTGAGCAGAATCCTGTTTATTTTGAAGCCTCTGTCACCAGGGAAACAACTGGTAGTGTTGAAAGACATTCCTCTAAAACCGGGCGGCTAGCGAAAGGGAGCCCTTTTCTGTCCTGTCATCGGTCCCCACGCATGGTGTAAGTGTCTGTCTATATGTCTACACCGTTCCCAGAGCCAAGCCCTATTGAGGGCATTCTGTGGAGCTAGGCAAGGAGTGGCCGCCTGGTTAGGGCTAGGGAGGGGTGTCAGAGAGTGTCCCCAGCATTTGTCATTACAGTTCCCATCTATCCTGGCTAGATTAGGGGGTCCTCAGGTGAGCCTGGATCCTCTTTAGTGAACCATAGATGTCATCTTCATACCATAGAGAAGGAAGGAAGGGAGGTTGCCTCGTAATACAGATGACTCTGGCTTGAAGGTAGAGAATGAAGTGGACTCAGAAGACATGGATCAAAGAAACCGGCTGGAACCATATGATTAATTGTGGCTGATCATTGACGAAGAGAACCTCCCTTGCACAGGCATTTCAACCTGGGAGGCATGAGTGAGCATTCATGCGTGTGTGGGCTCCAGCCTGCTCACCTATTGGTTCAGATAGAGAGAGGCACGTGGACCTGAAGGAACTGGCAATGTACTCCAAGGTCTCTCTCCCTGATCAATGTAGTCGATCCGGGGTAGTGAATCCAGGGAGGGCAGGATGCGGGGGAGGAGAACAAAGTCTGAATTTGAAACTCACACATTTTGAACACTTACTTGGTCTCTAGCTTGTGGCACTAGTTTAAAGGCTGCAGAGTCTGTAAGAAGTGGGCCTGGCCGACAGAATGAGGTTGGTAGGAGCAGGTCTTTGACCATTGTACCTACCCCTGCCTCTGGTCTAGCTCTCTCCACTTCCTGGTCCGTACCAGGTGGCAGCCACCCCTCTGCCTTCCTGTCACCATGCCTTCGCCACCACTGATGGACTGGAGTGTCTCTGAAACCATTAGCCACCGTGAGCCTTTCCTCACGCAAGTCATTTCTGTCGGATATCTTGTTATAGTTAACAGTGGGGGTGGGGGGGTCTCTTGGCTGAAAGAGCAACCGGGGCCATTCCTGGGCCTTCAGAATGAGGAGTCCCAAGGAGCTCGGCTCCTGAGGCAAGAGGCTCAGACATGACATGGCTCTGACCATGGGTCTGTCAGAGGGGACTGGTTCTCAGAGAAGCCCTGCAGAGGAATGCCATCACAAATATCAAACCTCGTCTTCCTGGGAAGAGCAGAAGAAATCTAGGCTGGCTAGGTCCCTAACTAGAGGGGAACCTCCTCCAACCCCTCCCACCTTGTCGCACACAGATTTCTGGCTGTGACTGAGGGTGCCATGTGCAGCTACCCTCACGCGTGCTGCTGTGTGTGAGCATGGGCCCAGCAATGTTCTTATTCAGGAGAATGGGTCACTTGTTGAAATCCAAAGTTTTCAGTGTGGAAATTACACCCTTGAGATTCACTCAGATGAGGGCAGGTGCCAGGCGTTTCTTGTTCAGTCTATCAAGCCGAGAAAGAAGAGTTCATTCTTTCAGGAAATGACAGTGTGCACATTTTGGATTCTGCAGGTTTGATTCAGGAAGCCACAAGCGTTGAACCTAAACGGTGTTTATGGTGGTCTGGATGGGATGTCCCCCATAGTCTCTGGCATTTGGATACTTGGTTGCCCGTTGGTGGTGCTATTTGCTTAGGCTTAGGCAATGTGGCCTTGCTGAATGAAGGATGTTGCTAAGGGTGGACTTTGAGGGTTCAAAAGCCACATATCCCTGGTTGTCTTGCTCTGTGCTTCCTGCTTGAGGTTTCAGAAGTGAGTGCTCAGCCTGTTGCCCCAGCTGCTGCCCTGCCCGCCTGCTGCCCCGGCTGCTGCCCTGCCTGCCTGCTGCCCCAGCTGCTACCCTGCCTGCCTGCTACCATGCTTTCCTGCCATGGTGGTGATGAGCTCTCATCCCTCTGTAAGCCTGAATAATCTCTTCCTTTTATAAATTGCCTTGGTCATGGTGATTTATCACAACAATAGAAAAACAATACGATGTCAATGCAGTAAGTGTGTGTTTGAACAGGGGCAGGTCAGCATGCCGGTGGGTCTGATCTGAGAACTGTGCAGCTATGGAACGGAGCCACCTCGTGGAAAATCTTTGGGATATTGTAATGATGCGCTCAAAGACCCCTTTCTGAACAAAAGACACAGACCCAGCGTTCCGCCCAGAGTCACTGTGTGACTAGCCCTCTCTCTCCCTGGTTTAGTCTAACACTCACTAACCTGAGCACGCTATGTTCTTGGCCACTCCTGGACAGCTCAGCTCTTCCAGGCTCCTTCTTTCCTAAGGACCTCAATAAGATTTCCAACTTTCGGCCTCCCTGCAAACTTCAGAGCACCATGGCAATCAAATGTTAGCATGCTCAACTTGAAGGTACAAGTGGAAGCTGTTATCTAATTTCTCCATTGTATCCACTATCACACACCTCACAATGCAATCCCTAATGACTGGCGTGTACTAATTTCTGTGCTGTAGTAAGTGTTTAGCAATATTATGGTCCAAATCCTGCAAAAAGGACCTTCAGTTCTTTAAGATATATTTATAATATAGTTCTCTTAATGATGACATTTAATTTTTTTGCATTTAGCATTTCTCAATTCAAATGTTTATTTCAACATGTGTAAAGGATCTATACCTATCTTGGAAACAATATGCATGGAGTTTTTAAAATCCTGAGTGATGTCTCTTGGCCCAACTGTTACCTGGAGTGGGAAGAGACTGTGAGATTCCCCAGGAGGAAAGTCTGGCCCTAGAATAGACCTGAGCCCTGCCCCAGGAAATAGTCTGGGGAAAAAAATAGCTGTGAAAGCCACTTATTAAGCACCCGCGATTCTCTAGGTCCTTCTGTGTGTGACAGAAATCATATCTTCTCTCCAACTTCTTCAGCCACTTTAAAACCCTCCTCTGTCACAATAAGACCTTTTGCAGAAACCACATGCTTCTGTGGAGGTGTGGCCTGAGGAAAACAATAGATCTTTGAGGACAGACCAAACTCCTGGTGGGGTTATCCTCAAAGATGCAAGCTTGTCCAGAATTATCTAAGGCTAAAGTGCTGGGGCTGTTAACGGAGGTGCATCCTTCTTCCGAATCTTAAGAGCCAGACTTGGCCAGCACTCAGGCAGTTGCTTCTACAGAAACTGGCTCCAGACTCTTAGGGAGAGCTCTAGAATAGTGGTTCTCAATGGGGCAGAGGCCAGGCACCCCCTTTTGTAAGCCACTAATGCTGCCACCTTTTAATACAGTTAAAAGTCATGTTGTGGTGACCCCCAACTATAAAGTTATTTTTGTTATTACTTCATAACTCTAATATTGTTACTGTTCGGATTCAGACGATAAATATCTGCGTTTTCTGAAAGTCTTAGGCGACTATGTGAAAGGGTTGTTTGATCCCCAAAGGGGTCGCTACCCACAGGTTGAGAAACACTGCTTTAGAAGGTCCATAAAAGTAGAGGACAGCATTTCTTTTCTTCCTCTCTTCTCCCCCGACCCCCAACCAATTTTATGTTCAGTGCTTCTGAACAGCAGACTCGGCACCCTCACTCGGGTGGTGTGAAAGAGACACCCATGCCGCATCGGTTGGCAAGCTTTAGAAGGTTGCCAGGAAGCACACTTTCTTCCTCTCAGGCAGAGCAGCCGCCCTGGCATCTTCTCCTGGACTCTTAAGGCTGACATTTCAGAGTGGCCTCGGCCTTTCTCCCTCCTTCATCCTGTTCAAATCAGAGAAGCCGCTCCGCGAGGCTCTGTCAGACTCATGGCATTTTCTTCCTAATCTCATTTTGACCTTGTTCAGGGCCCAACAAATCCTAATCAGCTGACAGGCGGAATCAGATGCTGAGTGCAGCTCTGCAGCCAGCATTTCCGCCTGATTATACCCAACCGGGGCCACTCAGCAAGGGCATCCTGGCCACCTGGTGAGTCAGCTGCCAAGTGGACAGGGAAGCACAGCAGACATTCTCAAGAAACTGCATTAGTTACCCGAGGCAACCTCAAGGGCAGACACATCAGCAGAGCTGGAGGGTACACCGGGTACAGTAGCTCACAGAAAGGGGTGCTTGGCCCTGCCTCACTGTTACCCAAGAACATTAGCCAATTTTTTTTCAGCAGCTATAGGCGGGACACTTGAAAAGGGCCCCTCGCACAAGTGAGCTGCTTCAGCTCCGTTAGGACCCCCACCCCCACCCAGTGCTTCTTCTAGTTTCTTTTTTCTTTTTTTGGAGACAAGGTCTCCTGTATCCCAGGCTGGCCTCGGACTCCCGTGTAAGCTAAGAATGATCTTGAACTCCTGACCCACCTGCCTATACCTTCCGATTGCTGGGATTACAAACACATAGGCCATTACATCCAGCTTCTGGGGTGCCGGGGAGCCAACCTAAAGCCTTTAGCATGTTTTGGTACAAAATTCCACTCGATTCCCTGGGCTGGTTTTGAACTCAGTGTAGACAGTCTTTCTGCTTTGACATCCTACTAGCCGAGAACTACGGGTCTGCTGTACTGCCAAATCCAGCCTGTGTGATTACACTCGGTATGCCGAAGCTCTTCTGAGAACATAGAGTACCAAAGCGTGTAAAGTGGCCCTCACCAGATCAGTCCTCCCTGAAGATGGCCAGGGGTGTGGGATTTGGCTCTCTCAGGTAGAAGGTGACTTTGTGCCCATGGCTATGGTGGCACGTAGCGAACGGCACGCTGTGCGTTTACAGCGCTCTTTGCTTATTTGTTTACGCACAGACCTCCGAGCCCTTTGAGGTAGTACAGGGCCTGGAATCCCAGCAGTCCGGAGGTGGGAGCAGAAGACAGGGAGTTCAAGGCTAGCTTGGGCTACAGAATGAGATTTGGGGACTTTGGTCTAGTTCATCCAAGCATCAGTCTCTCCTTCTGGGCTTATTGATTTCAGTAACTTCCCTTTAACTTGTCTTCCCGTCTTTGTCCCTTCGGCCCCATGGGACCGTCCAGAAGACCCTTGCTAAAAGGTAAGTCAGATTGCATCTCTCTTTGTTCCGAATCGTCTGTCTGGTACCCTTCCTTTGCACCGAGAACAAAGCCAAGCTCACGCGTCCCACAGCATCTCTCAACTCAGCCCCTGCTCACCTCTTCACTCCTTGTGTTACTTGTACGTTGCTCATTGCATAGTGCCAAGCCTGCCCAGAGGGACCCAGCGCTTTCTTTGTAATGGTGCTTTGGTTTGCAGTTTTTTCTGTGTTGGATTTAAACCTTCTCAAAGTCTTTGGGACAGAAAGAATCCAAGTATTGTCAGCTAACATGGTTTTTCAGCTCCATTGACCCAATGGCCAGGGATGAGAACCTTTCTGCGTTAGGGGTCCAAGGGGAAGCCCATGAGAGAAACTGCTGTCCTTAGCACACTGGGAACACTGAGAACTGAACCTGGCACAGCTGTCTGTCGCTGGGAGTGATAAGTGTGGCTGGAACACCCTGGCTGTGCTGCTGGCTCAGATGCAGGTCTGGTGCTCAGATCCCTGCAGTCTGGTCCGCAGCAGGCTATGAACTCTAGACCATCTCAAGCCCCTGAAAATCTGATGAAAGTATGAGCCCATCCCCCAGAAAAGCAAGCATGTTTGCTCACACACACATTTTTACGTTTCATTTCGGAAAGAATCAAGATGCCCCAAGCCCAATTTAGTCTCACGGTAAGAATGCCTCGTTTGGTAACCGCCTTACTGTTTGGCAAAACAAACAAACCTATCTGGATCCCTAGTCTGGACCATTTAAATGAACCAGAAGCTTGCATATAAAAGATGATAAACCTTAGGGGACTGTCCTAGGGAGCACTACAGCAGAAGTGAATGAGATGAATTGACAGTGAGCGTTTACAGAGGCATGATCTGAAATCCAGGTGGAAAGAAAGCAATGCAAACAACACAGCCTTTAACCGGACCTGTGCAAGGAGGCAGGACGTGTCCTGGACCCTTCTTTTCCATCTATGGTCTTCCCATTGGCTGTCCCCACACTCTGCGGGAGAGACCTGAACTTACCAGAGCACAATAGACCTCACCTTCAACTAACCCCATCACTGGGTTAAGATCCCACTGAATTGCCGTGCTGGCTAGATTTTTATTTTGTTTGTTTGTTTTTGTTGTGGTTTTTTTTTTTGTTTGTTTATGTGACAACTTGACACAAGCTGGAGTTCTCTGGGAAGAAGAACCTTGATTGAGAAAAATCTATCATTCAGATTGTTTGTCGGCACCTCTGTAGAATATTTTTTTAAAAGTTAATATTGGGTGTGGGTGGTGCTACCTCTGAGCAGGTGGCCCTGAGCTGTTTTAGAAAGTGGACCAGGCAAGCCACAGAGAGAAATCCTGTAGCAGCCTTCCTCCATGTCTTCTACCCCAGTGCCAGTCCTGACTCCTCTCAGTGATGGACTGGAATGTGGAACTAGGCTGACATTAACCTTTTCCTCCCCACGTTGCTTTTGGTCATAGTGTTTTCCCATAGAAATTGAAACCCCAACTAAAACAATTTCTTAACATTTTATTCAGATATAACTCACATGACCTACAGATCACGTGTTCAGCATGGTGATCTTACTATAGTCACAAACCTATGGAGCCATAAGCACAGTCACTTTAGAATATTTTTGTCACTTCAAAAGAAACTGTGTCCCTTAGTGGTCAGCTGACATTTCCCCCTTCCTATCAGGCTCAGACAGCCACAGAGCTCCTTTCTGTCTTGAAGATTCCCTCTCCTGTCTATTTTGTATAAATACGATCATTCAATATAGGGTTTTCCTCTTAGCATAATATCTTCAAATTTCAATAATATTGTAGTAGTATGTATCAAAATTTATTTCTTAATTTTGCTGCTGAATGTTTCATTGTAAGGATACACCACATTTTATTCCATCCACCAGCTGATAAATATCTAGGGCTATATATTATAAATAATGATGCTGTGAATATTTTTATGAAGATATGCAGTGTTTTAGAATATTTTATGTATATGCATGTGTGCCTGAGTATGTATGTATGCACCACATGCATGTGGGTACCTTCAGAAGCCAGAAAACAGCTTCTGATCCCATTAAGCTGGAGTTACAGGTGGTATACAACCACCTGATATAGGTTCTGGGAACTGAACCCAGGTCCTCTGCAAGAGCAGCAAGTTCTCTTAAGCCCTGTGCCATCTCTCCAACCTGCAGAGGTTCATCTTTTTAGTATTAACCTAAGGATTCAGATGCTCAGAGGAGCGATCCTTAGAGCACACACTTGTGTATGTGCATGTATTGTGTGTATGCATGTGTGTATGTGTCCCCGCATCATAATCATATGCAAAAAGCCGGCAAGCATGGATGCTAAGTCCCTCAGATTGCTTCCTTTCCGTTGGAACCTTCTGGGTGATCCTGGGACTTGACTCAGTCTCAGGTCTCCAAGGGGGATTATGTCATCCCTAGAAGGAAGGTGGCAATGCCAGCTTGTGACCCTTACAGGGCAGTGTGAAGATAAATGGAAGAAGTCCAATGGGCTCTACTCTTCCGAGAGTCCATATGAATAGGCTAGCGTGTGCTCCCAGATGGAGGGTGTTGTTGGCTCCCAGGCACCTGTTGCAGCTCAGAGCCCATGGCTTGGGGCTTGAGAGCATGGATGGTATTAGTCTCCATTTATGATGACATTAAGATGTGGTTTCTCTTGGGATTAGAATCTGGTCATCTCTTGAATCCCAGAGACTATTCCCTAAAGAAAAGCCTAGCTCTTTTCTGCTTGACCATGCTGGGCAGGGCAGGGGCAGGAGAAAGGGCAGGGTCCCATCTAGTGACTAGTGCCCAGAGGGTCAAGCTTGAATTCTAAAACTTATCTTTGAACTAGTTCTTGGAATGATCACCCTACCCTGTGATCACCCTTTTCTCTGTAAAGTACCTTGTTCTCTATAGAACCCTAGAGTACCTCCTTCCATGAAAGTCCTTCCGTGATCCCTTGACTTCTGGAGAGGGGTTGAATCCAATAAGGCCTCCTGTAGAGAGGTACTGAGAAGTCAGGTGATGGAGAGGTGTCTTAAAACATCTGAGGGTCCTATGTAGTCTACCAACTTCCTTGGGTCTCTTGGGCTTTAAAATCAGGCCCCAGGAGATGGCCCTGAGAGGCATCTCTATGTTAAATGGAACAGTAAATGAACTGGCAGGCATGCCTGGGGCACACCCTAATATCACTATTCACTGGTTGTATGAGCAAGGGCATGTACCTCCCCCACCTGAAATGACTTAGTAGTAGGGCGTGCCTGGTGGGCAGATTCACTGTGGAGACTTCATGGGATGTGCTACAGGGGCTCTGCCTGCATCCCGAGCTTTACCAATGTTCGCTTTAAAGTCAGAATTGAGGCCCACGAGCAGGCCAATGTTCTGTTGGTCAGTTAGTTGAACTCACTTAATTGGGCACCAGTTATGCAGCAGATACTAGCAAAAGGCCTGGGAACAAAACTTACCTTTCCCCCAAGGTTGCAAAATTCAGGTGGAAAAGAAACTAAACATTATGAAGTTTTTGTTTGTTTGGTTTGAGACAGGGTCTCACTGTGTAGCTCTGACTGGCCAGGAACTCACTATGTAGACCAAGCTGACTTTAAACTCAGAGATCTGCCTGACTCTGCCTCCCAAGTGCTGGGATTAAAGTGTGCACCACCATGGCCAGCTCCTCAGACTTCTTAAAGAATACATAAACAAACAGCAGTCCTGACAATGCCGTTCAGGTTCAGAGAAGAGAGACGGCAAAAGTGTCTGGAAGGGTTGGGCAAGGCCACAAGGAAAGCAATACTCTGAGGTGAGCAGTTGCAAGGCAAGATGAATTCCATCAATAGAGCGGAGGGAGGATTGGGGACAAGGGGAGTGGAGGACAGAGTAACATGTACGGCAGAGGCAGTGAGTGACAGCCTAGAGTAGTCAGGGCACAGCGCTGGTCTAGACCTGAGCCAGCATCAGCTTTCTGGTGTTAGTTCCTTCCTCACTGCCAGGGGTCTCTGGGTACGACAAGGCAGGCATCTCTTAGTGATCTGTTCTACCAATAATTACTCTTCCTCTGAAACTTCTTATCAATAACTTCTTATCAATTTCCGTATGAATGAAAGGAGAAGGGAGACCGAAGTTACCATTGCAGAAAGAGCCACATAGTGGCAACTGTTGGGCTCCTGTAACCAGCCCCCTTCTCTGGGGATGAACACTTTGATTGCCTTTGGGGGAGTCACCCTTGTTACTCTCAACCCAGGTGGCGTTGGAGAAGATGACACCCCCACTCCACGGCAGCAATAGATGCAGGCCTTTCCACGTTGGTTCTGTGAGACCCAAGCCTAAGTCCAGCTGGAGCGGGATGTCAGTGGGATGTGGACTGAGTTGCTGGCAGCCACACTGCCACTATCACGGCAAGTCCTTCTGGGAACAGAACCTGACCAGGAGCCAAAGGCGAAGGATGGAGAGAGAAGGACTCAGGGTATCTTCCCACCTAGCGCCACTGTACCAAAGCCTCGGCTTTCAACATGAGGGGAGATATACCATCTTTTTGCCCAAGTCTCTTCACTCTCGGTTTAGATTATGTTCATTGACAGAATCCAGATTTATGCAAGTATGTGGCTCCTGTTGGGGTTTTGATGACGTCTTCTTAGCATGGATAGATGCAAACCATTGCTCAGAGTGGCCTATGTCTGCAGTAACAGAACCCATGTGCTGGGCATAGCGGCCCCTGTACTCATCCTCAAATGGTGCGCTCGGGGTTGCAGAAGGCTACACCAAGATGCAAACTGCCCTTCTTTCTCCCTCCTCTGCTCACCCAGGAACTCTCCTCAGACTCCTGACTTCATTCCTCCTTTTCTTAAAGTAAGGAGTTATTGAATCTACTAAGTATATTTTTGCAAGACCCTGAAACCCCAGGGAGGAGCAAGAAACGGAAGACTGGCAAGTCTTAGTTTTGTTTTTTGTTTTCCTTTTTGCTCCTTAGGGGAGAATCAGCTATTTCTTTTATTTCCTGTTCCATGCTGTGTCTTTTAGAAAGCATTAACTTTATGGTGATGGGATTTGGCTAGTTTACAATTTCCTGGCTACCTCTTCTTGGATCTGAGCACAGATAATTCACGGGGTAGGAATAATTTCCTGCTTCCTGGCTAAGAACTCGTCCTCTATAGTTCTTTCTGGGGGGGTGAATTCGCCTCTGAATGAGAGGCAGGAATCTTTGAAGACTCCAGTCTATCTTTGACCCAGATCTGGGAGTGGGAGCGCAGGGGTTGAGGGAAGGGGGGAGGAACAAGTGGAAGGCAAGGAGCAGGAACACAGGCACTCACCTCTGTCTCTGTGGTGGGGGGGCTTTCTTTCTGGGGTGGTGACAGCCGCTGCAATCACACTGGGCTCCCAGGACGCTGCAAGTAGCCTGCTGAAAAGGGGCGGTTCCATTCACCATTAGAAGGGAGTGTCCATCCAGAAAAGGAGGCCTTTATCCCCTGGAGGTTGTTGAGCCACTTGTCCTTTCTTTCTATGGTGTGAACGGAGCAGAGGAGACACCAACCCCCCAGGGAAAGGCTGGGTGAAACCATACACCCCACTGGCCACTTAGCAGGAGGAAGGTAAGGCCGCCCTGTCCAGCCCCTGAAAGGTTGGCTGGCATTGGTATGCCTACAGAAGGCCAAGGCCAAGAGCCCATGTTCTTTCATTTCCCCTCTGATGTGATTTATTTTTGGACTAGACACACAGGCTATTTGGGGGCTGGACAGCTGCCAGGTGAAAGGACAAGTATGTTGGCCAAGTTGTGTCTATGCCCTGCTCTGAACTTGCCCTTGTCCCTTCCCCCACATGAGATGGGGGGGGGGGGTCTTGCTCTGATTAACTTTTGCAACTCCGCATGCTTTTTCAACTAGTTGATCGCTGCCCTCTGAGCATGCAATGGGAACTGTCTTCCCTTCTGCATGTGAAGCAGGTGGGTTCTGAGGCTGGTGGTCGTGCCACATAGGCAAACACACTATTCCAAACAAGGAGACCCTCTAGTCAACACAGGGCAGACCCTGAGGCTAGAAGGCAATGTGTAAACAGTGCTGGAAAGCTAGGCTCGGTGACCATGCACCCAATTCTCCCTCGCTCTCCTGGTAGTTCCTGTTTCCTAGGCTTGTGGGGCACAGCGTTGAAGTGGGTAGATTTCTCACCTCCCATTCTTTGTCACTGAATGAGAATGGAGAGCTGAAGCAGGCATGCTTGACCTGATGGCGTGCACCTTAGCCTCATCGCCTCCACTGTCACAGCTCTTACTCCTGGGCTCTCTCCCCTGACCGCCGTCTCTCCCCTGCCCCAGCCCCTTTCATCCTCGGGGCAGCCAACCCTTTGCTCTGTGTGGTGGCCAGGGAAGCTGAGATGTGGAAAGGCTGAACCTTACCTTCAGAAAGGTTGAGGTGCTGGCTCCAGACTGTCTGCCTCCAGGGCTGGCGCTTTTTGACCACTTTGCTCTGCTGCCTTCTCAAGTAGAACTGGTTAAGATTTTGCCTCCTTTCCCCCCAGAGAACGAAGGAACTAGAGCCTCAGGGGCGAATCAGACCCATTCATTCAGCCTTCAATTTCATCCCCAAATTCAGATCTTGAAGAGGAGACAATAGCTTTTTTGTGTGTTAACTGTCCCAGGCTGAGTCTAGGTACAGGATGGAATCTCTGCTCTCCCTTGTCCTTGGAGACATTTCCCTGTGAGTGATTCACTGTGCAAACATTAGAGCAAGCTGGGTCGAGCTGCCCAGGCTGGTCTCCCCACCCGTCTGGGCTCAAGTGCCCAGTTTCTTTAGGAAGAGCCAGAGGTAGCACTCAACTGCTTGTCCAACGCTGCCCTCTTCAGGCTCTTGTGTGCCATTACACCAGGGCAATCATCTACCGACTATCTCAAAAATGAGTTTTTAGAATCCTTTCCCAGGTCCTTCAAAAGTTACTTTGCCAGGGAATGTGTCTGTGCCGATAATAATTCTTCCCCTTTTGTATAATAGTTGAGAATTCACATCACCCTTGCAAATCTAAGTAAGGTGTCTTTGTCCAAAATGAAAAAGAAAAGAATATCTCCAGATTTCCTAATGATCCAGACGTTTCCTTTGGTGATTTAAATCAACTTTCTTTAATGATAAATTAAGCATTTCCTCATTGAACAACCACTTCCCCTATTGGTTCATTATTGATCGCTAGAACTGCAGAAGCAATTCAAGGTAATATTAGAAAAAAAAATCTCGGGGGCTGGAGAGATGGCTCAGTGGTTAAGAGCAGTGTCTGCTCTTCCAGAGGTCCTGAGTTCAATTCCCAGCAACCACATGGTGGCTCACAACCATCTGTAATGAGGTCTGGTGCCCTCTTCTGGCCTGCAGATGTACACACAGACAGAATATTGTATGCATAATAAATAAATAAATATTTAAAAAAAAAAAAAAATCTCTGTGTATTTGTGTGTGTGTGTGTGCGTGTGTGTGTGTGTGTGATATGTGCACACCTGTTTTATGGGCATGCCAGCTGTCTTCTTGTATTGCTCCCTGCCTTAGTCTTTAAGATGGGTCTATTGCATTCATGACCAAGTTACTTACGGTTAGTTACATGGACATGGGTGAGAGATTATGAGATCATGAGCAATTTACCGATAGCCAGACCACTGAAGACACTGTCTGCCCTCCTCTCAGGGGAAGGTGAGGATTCTTGGGCCCCTCCCCATGTGTGTCAGAGCACTGTCGGGCAGAGTCTTGCGCAGGTCTGATACAGGTAACGACAACTGCCGTTTCATGAGTGTGATATCCATGTCAGAGTGGAAAGAATTCATTCTGCAGCGCCCCTCCCTGTCTTCTGGCTCTTACCTTCTTTCTGCTTCCTCTTCTGTCACGTTCCTTGAGCCTCGAAACGATCGATATAGATGTCCCTTGACCTATCGATTTCAACGTTCAGGGGGGCATTTTTTAGAGTTGCTTCAGAAAACAGAGCAAAAAATTCATGAAGATTGCTGCTCACCAGGGCTGGCTACTGCTGCCTGCGAGCAGCAGGGTCATGACCCATGCACTGAGCATCTGCCCTCTGTCAGGCCTTTGGGCACCAGATATAAACACAGTGAGCAAAATCCAGCTTGCTCCATGCTGACTTCCTCGCCATGGCTACCTTCAGGACACTGAGCAATGGAAGCACGCAAGTTAATAATTACTCAAATGAGCCACGGGAATTCAGCTTGTTGAAGTGCGAGCACAGCGGGTATTTAGTGAGGCAAGAATGCACAGTGGACATTGACCCTGGGAGCCAGCTTTGTTCCTGGTGAAATGGGTGAAGGCAGCAGGCCCTAGGGGCATGAAATCTAAACCAAGAATATAGCTTCATAAAGCTCTAAGAATCTGGAAAAAAAATCATGGAGAAACCTCAGGAAAGGAGCTTCTAGACAGTTAAGAGAAAGAAAGAGACTGTCGTGTTTGGTTTCTTGTTGCTGCGACAAGACACTGACCGAGCTTTTCATATGGGCACGTGACCAGGGAGAAATTCTCACCAAACTCCTAATCACGGCTACCTCTAGAGGGCATGAGAATCAAGCCAAACTAGCTGGGTCTCTGGTGGTGGCTTTCTACCTAATCCTCTTCTCTCCCTGGATTAGATTCTCAAAATACACTCTCTCCATCCCTGCTAACATTCAAGTATCTCACCTGCAACCACGCCAGGCAGTGGTGACGCACACCTTTAACCCCGGTATTCGGGAGGCAGAGGCAGGCAGATCTCTGTGAGTTCAAGGCTAGCCTGGTCTACAAAGCCTGTGAGTTCCAGGATAGCCAGGGTTATGTAGAGGGACCCGGTCTCAAACAAAACAAAACAACACCAATAAATAAATAAATAAAACCACCTGCAACAAACTTCCTAAGCTCTTCCTGGGGTCTGCTTTCCCTTTTCCAAAGGAGCTTACCTCCTTACCCAGGAAAAGCACCGCTCCCATACCGTCTCTCACTCAGGGAAGACCTGAATATGCTCTGGTTATAAATACTCTCCTAGTGACTGGAGGTAACAAAGACTGGGGAAATTTGATTGTCAGCTTGAGATCCTTGGAATCAGGATGGAAACATATCTCTAGGTGTGTCTGTGAAGGTATTTTCAGAGAGAATTCACTCAGGACTGGGAAGACCTTCCTTCAGTAGGGTACCACATCTCCCTGGCAGCCCAGATATGAGGAGGTGGAAGGAGAAAGTGGAGTCAGCTGCCACCTTTACTCCTTCCTGAGAAGGTTCATTTAGGGGTGCTATGTCGACCTCCGCCAATAGACTCCCGCTTCTCTGGCCTCTCAATGAAGACTGACTATCAGCAACTCTCCAGGGACTTCAGTGTTGGACTGAGACTGCTAAATCATCC